CCCCCAAAACTTTTTTCCTGGCATGGTTTTTTTTTAATAATTTTTCTGAAACTATCTGGCAACCCCACAGATTAATAACTGGGGAAGCTGTGCTGCCTCTCAGTTCAGGTAAATTCAATGAGTATCAGCTGTGCCACTTCTCCAGGTCCAACACACGCTCTTCACGGTAGCAAGCAGGAGCTTTTCCTTACATGTTTTGCCATCAGTCAAACGCAAAGGAGCTAAACGCCACAGAGCAGGAGATCCAGGAGCAGAAGGGCAGAGCTTAACGGGGCCCGGGAGACGGGAGGGCTAAAACAGAACAGGCTGGAAGGAGCGGACAGCCAGGGTGGGGGAAGCTCCCATCAAACAGGAAGGTGGCGGGAAAGGCGGGGGCGCAGAAAGCAGCGAAGCCGTGACGGAGTCAAATTAAAGCGCGTGAGGGGCCCAGGGGCGCGTGTGGAGTAGCACTCGGGTTTTGAGGAGACGAGTGCGCCTTAGGTAGGGATCGAAAAGACATGGGCGTGGTGATGACGCGCGATTCAGCCGCCACTCTAACGCCCACTTCCTTCCCAGCTTGTCTACCGCTTGGCTTGTCATTTTGAATTTAAACCGTCCCAGCGCTTCCCATTGGGCCCGCTTTTCTACCACGTGATCCGGCTTCTACCAATGAGAGCGTTTCGCGCGCCTTTTCGAATTGGAGATTTCAATCATCGATAGTCCCTGTATCCTTCCTCCTCTCTCGCTCTGGAGGGAGGGAGGGAAATAAAATAGTCCCGGAGGGATGGCTGCTGTTTTGGCAGCCGGCATTTCTGCAGTTCGAGAAGGGGCATTTCAGTGACGAGGTGAGTGAAGGAAGCAGGCAAGTATGGTGGAAGCTACTCGGGTTTGTCTGAGGCGGCGATTGGTGAAGGGATACGTTGGGCGGAGTGAGGCGGTCTCGGTACCGGGTCCGTTCGGCGGTAGCGCGGCGAATGACTAGGTAACTGGCGCTGACAGTTCTCTCTCTCTCTCGCGCGCGCGCGACTACAGGCGCCCAGACAGCGTGGGGAAGGCACTAGGCCGGGCTGAATGTGGCCCTGGTGCCGAGATCTGCGTGAACGGACCGTGAGGAGGCATCGGACAGGTAGGAACCGCTCCCTTTCGTATGCCCGGGGTGACGGGCTGCTGTGCGTCTGGTGCTCGCCCTGGTGGGTCTCTGGGGAGCTCCCCCCCCACCCCGCTCCTGTCTAATGGGGCGCGCCGGGGTGTTTCGGGGCAGGATTGG